CACGACCCGGACACAAACGACGCCAACCCCCGCAGCGCCAGCAGCGCGCCATCCGTCAGCGCACCGGCGTTATCGTTCACTACGACGCCGGACGCGTTGGCCTCCACACCGCTGCCAAACACCAACCCATGTGCGGCGTACACCTGGCTCCCCGACACGCGAAGCACAGCGCCCCCCGACGCCACCACGCACGCACTCGCGTACAACGCATATTCGCCACCGAGCACAGCCGCGTCCAGCGCAACACCGCCACCGACAAGCTCCAGCACCGCGCCGTCCACCACCACCGTCCGCCCACCAGTCATCACCGTCACGAGGGCAACGCCGGACACAACCAGCACGGACCGCACAAGCCGCAGGCCCGACAGCACCAGCACCGGTGCGTACGGCGAGGACTGCGAGCCGGGAAGATACACAAGCGGCGTCGGCCTCGCGGCAACCAGCAGGGTGTCCGTCACCGTCAGCACGGACCCCGCGGGATACGTGCCGGTCAGCACAAGCGCACCGTTCAGCGCCTCCACATCGCACACCGACAGCTCCACCGGCCCGCTCTCGTCGCTCCCCGCCGCCACCGCACCGCGCAGCGCTCCACCGCCCAGCACGTACAGCACGGCGCCGTTACGCAGCGACACGTTCTGCACAACGATCCGCACGCCATCCCGCGCCATCCACGGCACGTAGAGCACCGGGCTCACGCCGTCCAGCACAACGTGGCGCAGCGTCACCTCGCTCGCACCGGCAGGCACGACGAACACCGACCGCACCGTCACGCCCTCGCGGACGAACACACTCGACGCAGTGCACACAGCAGACGGCAGCGCGGGAGCGCCCACAGGCACGCACGCCTCGCCGTACCCGCCGCTGCCGCACACGCACACGCACACACCGTCCTTCATGCTCGCCGACGCCGTCCCGGGCGCGTAGCAGTACGTGTCCCTGTCGCAGGCGTCGCATCCAACAACGTCGATGCTCCCAGCGTCGCCAAAACCTGTCGCTGTGTACTCCTCCGCCGTCGACAGGACACGTCCACCAGCGTCGTTGCACGCCACCCTCACATGCGCCCCAGCCGCAAGCGACAGGCTCACCAACAGCATCCGCGGCAGCAGCGCTCGGTTGCGCACAAAGCTCAGCGTGCTCCCAGCAGCGGTCACGGCGCCAGCAGCGTAGAGCATTTCCCTCGAGACGCCCTCGTGCACGTTGTCCTTCACTAGCAGCATCGACCCACCGGTCAGGCTCACCGTCGAATAAAACGCCACCGCGTAGTCCTCCGTCGAAAAAAACTCGCTCCGCAAAAACGCCACAGCGGAGCCCGACACGCTCACAGCCCCACGCACAAACACCGCGTGCTTGCACAGCAGGAAGTCGCTGTCAACAAACGCCACCACGGAGCCGCCACTGGCCGCAACACCGCCCCCCACCGACACGCACAGCCCCAGCACCGTCTGCACCAACAGCCCGTCCACGTACGGCACACCGCTCGACGACAGCGCCACGCCGCCGCCAACGTACACCTCCGACCCGCCCACGTGCAACGACCTCAGCACAGTGTTGCTCACACGCAGCTGCGTCCGCAACAGCGACATCGCGTGCAGCACAAGCGGCGACGCCATAGCGTCCGTCAGCCCGCCCAGCTGGGAGTAGCGCATCGGTCCCGGCGTCACAATCGTCGAGTCACGGACGGTCATGTTCGTGTGTGCCGGCAGGTTGTGCACAAACACAAGCGAGCAGTGGCTCCCCGACAGCCCGCTCACGCTCACCTCCAGGCTCCGGTCACTCGCCGGCTCGCCTCTGTAGCCCCGCACGTAGATCTGTTCACCGCCGTCGCACACACAATCCCTCAGTTCGATGCGCAGTGCGCCGGGAAGCATCGCCGGCACGTCAAACACAACAGCCACGCCGTTAGTCATGGACACGCCGTCCATCAGCACCGTGTCCACGGCGCGGCCAACCGTGATGGCTCTGTCCACCGTGCCGCCCCGCAGTCGCAACACCACCGCATGCGCCGCGGGCATCCACGCAGCAGCAGCAACAAGCGCCAACACAACGAGCAGCGCCACACGCACAGCTGCAATGGCCCTGCACCACACACGGTGCCGGCTGCGCCGATACGCACCCACCGCAGACCACATCCACCGACCCAGACAAGTATCAATAGAGCTGTCATGGCGTGTCGCCCTCGCCCCGTCGACCATTACTCCTGTCTATCAAATCCTTCCTACAGATGGCAAATTTAATAACACGATTCATCAAAATCGTTATCCAATTGCTACTAGTTCTAATAATGCAAGTAATCCCCAATACCTTGAAACGATAGTTGTGGTGGTGAAGCCAAATTATCTCTAGCTGACGCTCAAAATAAGAATAAAATGCAGTAACAACAGTAACCAAACACAGTGGCACGCAGAAGCATCCGGTAATACACAATCCCCACCAAAGCACAACAACCGACACAAAGCAGCGCAGATGCCACAATCACGCCAGTGACACCCTCGCCCTCCCACCGCCCACGCAGTCCCAGACAACCACCATGCAGAGTGGTAAGATCCCGGCAAAAGGCCAGATTATTGTTGGCACCGCTCCTGTTACCGAACGACTCCATCACAGTGCAGTACCAATGCCGTGAAAGACACACAAGGGCCGAGGCAGACCACGTGGCAGCATTACAACCGCCAGCCGTCAAGCGCGTAAATGAAGGTGTTGGTGTTGGTGGTGCGGAAGTGGAGTGGAGAGTTCGCAGTTCGCCAGCAGTCAAGGCGTCGTTTCTCGCTCATGTGGGTCGGCATTGCACAACAAGCAGCGGCACCATACGCGCACACGACACACACGAAAAGTACGAATAAAGAAGTACGACGGGGGCACTCAGATACGGGGGACAAGGGTCCACGTCAATTGTGCGACCTGTTGACTCATAGACGTCCGGTTTGTAATCACGCCGCTGCTCTGCAATTCGTCAGTCTGCAGGAGACTGGGGAATGGAGGGAAGGGAGAGAGGGCCGGTGCGGCCCTCATCCATCTCGGTTGGATGTGATACCGGTAACGTCATCTCGTCAAATTGCCCGCAGCAAAGACCGTCGCCGTCAGCGGAGGTCGGTTTCTTCCCTCTCCCACTGGGGCGCCACTCCACCGACGCAGTCGCTCGCCTCCTCCCCCACCAACACAACGAGGGAGCAACCGCGGGAGATGCGACACGTGCGACGAACACGCAGCCGCAGAGCCCCATTGCCGTCGCCATGGCCAAACAAGGCTGGCTGCAGGACGCAAAAAGAAGAATAA